GAGAGAGAGAGAGAGAGAGAGAGAGACTTTTACATTTTTTTCTTCAGGTCCTTTAAGGCCTTTCTTATGAAAGAAGCCAATAAAACTATGGAAAATGTTTTATTACAGTAATATACATCAGCCATGGTACTGTTCTTCAAAGTTTGTGCTTGCATTAAGCACAAATTAATAAGGAAAGTCTGTCCAGGTTTCATACTTCATCGTTATACAGCTTGTTAACGTTTGCAATGACAGCCAAGTTTCTGTGAATCAAACAAACCTACATACACCTTAGGTGAAATATGAGAGGTAAAGGCCGACTGCAAAGTTGGAAGCACAGTCTCCACCCTCATTTCTAAGACTAATTAAAAGTTTGAGAAGGGAACAAAACCTCTGGAGTGCAAATTTGTCAGAAAGACTCAAAGCTCCCTGAATTGCTGCAGGAAAGCTTGAAAGCTCAGGCTCAAAGGAAAGTTCAGTTAAGCAGTGTGTTTCAAATGTGGAGTATCAGTCATGTTCAAGGTGTGAAGTCAAAATGGTACTGTTCCAACACCTATGTGGATAATATGCACAGCACACTGTCAGAAATTTACCAGAACTAGGTGTCCAGAGTCTGGGGGGATTTATCATACATATATGAATGATTTATTAATGTATTGAGTGATTAATCTCAGAATTCAAGGCCACAAATCCAAAGCTCCTATCTGAGGAAAGACGCTTAAAAGAAATCCCACACTAGCTCAGAATTGAGAGAAAAGATGATTATTAGGGGTAAAATCACAAGTCAGAGATTGGCTGGATCCAGCCATCAAAGCCATGGCTTAAATCCTACCCACATTGCTTGGCAAATTAAAGACTCATGTGGTCAGAAAAAGAGAGATAAAGTAAAGAGAGATGCAAAGACAAAAAAAAAAAAAACTTCTAACTGGTTTACTGTGCATTAAAAACATGCACTGGCTTGGAAGAAAAAAGTAAAAGGTTAAAGTCCTTAAAATAAAAAAGGAGAGTAGTTGGGTGTGGTTGTACAAACCTTTAATCCCAACACTAGTGAGACAGAGGTAGACTGGCATCTATGAGTTCAAGGTGTGGTGGCATGTGCCTTTAATCCCAATGCCTGGGAGGCAGAGACAGGTGGGTCTCTGTGAGTTCAAGGACAGCCTGGCCTACAGAGTGAGTTCAAGGACAAAGATACACAGAAACCCTGTCTCAAAAAGCCAAAAATTAAAAATAAAAGAAATAGAGTTTAAAATAAAGCTGCATAAAGATAGAAACATACAGAATCTTGATACTGTATGTTATTGTGCTCTCTTTGAATTGTTTGAATGCTGAGGAAGGAGCAACAGCTGCTAAAAGATATTTGTTTATAAATGCTGCTAAACTAATTCAAGATAGGTATGAAAATGCCTTGACTTCAAAATTGAAGTCAAAGGGTATGTTACTTTGGAGAAGTGATTTTGCTTTTGTTTCCACAGGAAATGAGAGGCTGTAGATTCATTCTGAGTTAAGAAAAATCAATTTTGATCAAGGAAGACCACCTGAGAAAACTCTGGTAGGAACAGATGGCCCTGATGTCAAAGTTCTACATTCAGAACAGGTCCCCATAATATTATCAGCACTACCAAACAGCAGGAAGTAGCCTGGAATACTATGCCCACATTCCCCAAAAGATGGACTCTAGATATTTTTCTTCATTTAAAAAAAAGAGGGGAAGTGGTGCAGGAGAATTGTCTGTATTCTGTCAATCATGTTTTAAATAAATGCTGATTGGCCAGGCAGGAAGTATAGATGTGTCAATCAGACAGGAAGCAGAGGCCGGGCAATGAGAACAGGAGAATTCTGGGAAGCAGGAAGCTTACTTTCTCCAGTCCTGCCCAGATCACTGAAGAAGCAGAATGTGATCCTCCCTTCTGAAAAAGATACTGAGCCATGTGGCTAACATAGATAAGGATAATGTGTTAATATAAACTACAAGAGCTGATAAGAAGCCTGAGCTAATGGGCCAATCAGTTTATAAGTAATGCAGACTCTCTGTGTGATTTCTTTTGTGCTGAATGGCTGTGAGAACCGGGCAGGACAGAAACTCCAACAAGCAGCCCCTCCTGTTGCAAGGCAGAAAGGGTAAACTCACCAATTGGCCACTGTTGGATGAAGTGAACAGGTTTTGGCTCTCTGATAAGTTTGAGAATTGAGTTGGAGGTTCTGAAGACCCATCCAAGACATTATGTGAGTCATGAAGTCACCGAAAGGGAGGAAAACACAAGACACCCCAAGACCAAGTTCTCAGCACAAAAGGAGATATATTACCCTTGAGGGGCAAGGAGGGGAAAGGCAACAACAGCAGCAAGAAAGCAAAAATCATAACAAAACAAAGAAACAAAAGATAACAAGAACAAGAAAAGCAAAAAAAAAAAATATCTTGCTTCTGCAAAAGTGAGGGGTTTTTTTTGGTAGCTTTGGGCTTTATTTTTTTTTTCTTTTTAAAATGTATTTATTTTTCTAAGTAAAACAAACTATCTTTTTTTCACTATACATACCAATGCAAGTTCCTACTCCCTCCCTTCCTTCTACTCCCTCCACATATCCTCCACTTCAGCCCCATCCAATTCTCAGAGAAGGCAAGGAGCACTGCTCTGTGGAAGGTCCAAGGCCCTACCCACTATATCCAGGTCGAGCAAGACATCCATCCAAAGAGAATCGGTTCACAAAAAGCCAGTGGCCCCTCAGTCTGTCCCAGCCCTGCAACATTAACCATACTCAGAGGACCAGTTTGATACCATGCTTGGTCTTTCCCAGTCCAGCTGGAGCTGGTGAGCTCCCACTAGCTCTGGTAGACTGTTTCAATGGATGAACCCATAATGATCTTGACCTCTTTGCTCACATTCTTATCTCTCCCACTCTTTAACTGGACCTAAGGAGCTCAGTCCAGTGCTCCAATAAGGGTCTCTGCCTCTGTTTCCATCAGTTGCTGGATGAAGGTTCTATGGTGATATTTAAGATAATCATCAGTCTGACAACAGGGCATCAAGATTGGGCCACGTCTCTGTTGCTTAGGTTCCTATCTGGGGTCACTCAACCATTGCTGGGGGGAATGCAAACTTGTACAACCACTTTGGAAATCAGTATGGTGGTTTCTAAGAAAATTGGGAATAAACATACCTCAGAACCCAGCAATACCACTCTTGGGCATATACCCAAAGGATGGTCAATAAGGACATTTGTTCAACTATGTTCTGTTGTAGGAGCGGCAGGCTGCATCCCCGGCACCCGGCTAGCTTTATCCAAAATAATTACACGGAAACTATTCTTTTAAACACTGCCTGGCCCATTAGTTATAACCTCTTATTGGCTAGCTCTTACATATTGATCTAACCCATTTCTAATATCCCTGTAACACTACAAGTTGTCTTACCAGGGATGATCTTAACCTGCGTCTGTTGGAGTGGGAGAATCATGGCGACTGTCTGACTCAGCTTCTTTCTCCCAGCATTCTGTTCTGTCTACTCCGCCTACCTAATGGCTGGCCTATCAAACGGGCCAAGGCAGTTTCTTTATTAATTAACCAATGAAAGCAACAGATTAGAAAGAAGTCACTCCCACATCAGTGTTCATAGCAGCAGTATTTGTAATAGCCAGAATTTGGAAACAACCTAGATGCCCCTCAAATGAAGAATAAATAGAGAAAATGAGGTACATTTACACAATGGAGTACTACTCAACAGTAAAAAAAAAAATGACATCTTGAAATTTGCATGCTAATGAATGGAACTAGAAAAAAAAATCCTGAGTGAGGTAACCTAGACCCAGAAAGGGGAACATGGTATGTACTCACTTATAAGGGATAGTAGCTGTAAAGCAAAGGATAGCGAGCCTATAGTCTATGATCCTAGAGAAGCTAAGTAACAAGGTGAACCCTAAGAAAAACATATAGATTCATCTGGAAAGGGGAAATAGACAAGATCACCTGACAAAATTGGAAACATGGGGGTGGGAGGAGAAGAGAAGGCAAAAGGGGAGGAGGAAGGAAGAAGGGAAGGGGGAGGATAATTTGAGGGAACAGGATAGTCGAGATGGAGAAAGGACAGATTGTAGCAAAATGGGAAAAGATCTTCACCATCTCACGTGTGACAGAGAGGACTGATCTCAAAAATATATAAAGAACTCAAGAAACTGTACATAAAAAAACCAAATAGTTCAATTTGAAAAAATGGAATGTAGATCTAAACATAAGTCTAAACAGAAGAATCTCAAATGGCAGAAAAACGCTTGAGGAAATGTTCAACTTCCTTGGCTATAAGGGAAATGCAAATCAAAACAACTCTGAGAATCCATCTTACACCTGTCAGAATGCCTGATATCAAAAATGCAAATAACCGCTCATGTTGGAGAAGATGGACATCAATTGACACAAGTTGATTTTTCTTCCAATACTCCATACTCTTCCCTCCAATGCTGCCTCTACTTCCCTAGCCACAGATGGACTGACTAGCAGAACCTAAACATTGACTAATACAGCCTGCTCTTCCCAACCTTGACCAACATTTTAGCTTCCTTGGGTCCCTAACAACAATGTTTCAATGAAAGCAGAAAGTAACCAGAGAGAACAAGGCACACTTACCTAGCACCCAGTAACCCAATAACACAAGAAGGTGGGAATGAAAGACCTCTGACAGGTCTGAGCATAGCAAACACAAACCTGAGCATGGCAAACATTGCAGGCAAATTTTTTCCCTTTACCATTTTTCTTCTCACTAAAAACGGTTCCTTTCCTAGGCTAGCCCCCAAGATCTATTCCTTTCTTTCGCCACTGACTCATTTGTGAGACAAAGTACCAAGGTTCAGCAATCAAAAT